GACTCCTCTGTAGCATCGCAAATCGATGCACAGCTCCACCACTGTACAACTGCCGAACTTCCTCAAATATCAGTTTGTGTTTGCGCCCGGAGTGTCACCGGCGTACTCTGCCTCTACACTGGCGCTTGTTTGTTTTCCTCTTTTATCGATCAACCGAACCAACGGCAACAACAACAAACAGAGCAGCCGAAGTTGGTCGTCGATTACCTTCCATTCTTCAGTGCCGGTTGTCTTTGCTCAAACTCAACTCAAGTGAATCTATCGAGATTGAACGACTAACTACTAAAAATATCATCATCGTTTGGCATCAACACAACCGAGCCGACATTGACAAACACAACAAAGTCTGTCTCTTTCAATCCCATTGTCTGGCAGAACATTCGTCAAGTTTATGACATTGCATCACAGTTGACTACACTGCAGACACAAATCTTCTTGCGTTCCAGTTGGACCACTCACTGTTTCATTCTTCAAAGAGCTACAACTAATACTTTTACGACCCGATTTTTTTTCACTGATATCGATTAATACGAGCTCAACTAGCATCCAAAAGCTTTACGACTGGCTAAACAACAAGCTGCATCGTTTGATTGTTTATCTCCAGCTGCTTTCTCTCCACTAGTTTGATGATTTATTGAATGAACAAAGTAGTGAGTAAAAGAGATCACCTTTTCAGCCCACTGTTTGCACTGTGTGGAAAATTCGATCCGATTATGGCAATTCTCGCTACTTGCACCAACGATCGAACATTAGTTTCGATCCATTTGATACACACACATGAAAAAGCTTCTTAAATTGCTCATCGAGTCCTGTGTAATTTCTGGTTTAAAAACATCATCGCCTCTCTTGCACTCCTCATCAATTTACCGGCCACTGTGTGTGAGCGGATTGTCTCCTGTCCGCATCTTTTTTTCCACTGAGAAAATATACAGCATTTTCAAGGCGTCCTCCTGCAATCATCGTCAGTGCGCACAGTGCAATTAAATTTAATTACATAAACGTGTACCTGTTTTTTCAGCGGCGCGTACTCTCAAAACACTGTTTCTCTCTGCCGTGTTTTCTCCCCCTGTAAACTTGCCTGGTAACACTCATTCACGCCGGTCGATCATCGTCGCCGCCGCCGACATCGTCGTCGTCGTCATCGTCATCTTTGTTGTTCGTCATTTGCAATTGTGATTTATCGTTCAACGGCGGTGGTGCCAGCATACATACACACACACACGATAAACAGCAACAAAAGTTGACTATAAATTATCGCCAATTTGAAGCTAAAAAGAAAGAAGAGAGGAAAGACTACTAAACCAAAAGAGTAACCGGCGTCTTCTTCATTAGCAACTACAACATCAGCAGCATCAGCAGACAGCACTGCATCAACATCAGCGCCAATCTACGCGTGCCATCGGACAAACACAGACTGTCTTTCCCGATTGAAGTGCAGGCGGACATCGAGCAGCAGCATCTTCTTTCCCCCTCTGTTCCGTTGTCTTTCTTCCTTCGTCGTTTGTTCATGTAATCCCCACCATCAATCGGCCTAATCAGCACTGGCAATCTTACCGAAAATCGTCTTTCTATGATGTTTGTGCGCGGCTATACAAGACTAAAAAAGTGAAGAAGACACACACACGGCACCGTTAATGTAGTTTAAAAGATAGCAAGGCTGAAGTAAATAGCCAAAAAGAAGCGGCGCCCTCTCACCTCGTTTCGCTCTCGCTTTGCCCAAATACCATATAATTGAAATGCAGCTAAATCAATGCACCTCTCTAATGGACTGCCGACTGGAACGAATCTAATTGACACCATTTAAATAGACACTCATTAGCACTGCTACGAGCTACACTATTCTGCCGCTTTTAAGACGCCTCAAGCCTCGTCCTCGCTCTCTCGCGCTCATCTGCAGAATTAATTTAAAAGTCAAAGGCTGTAATTGAGATTACAACCTTGTTCTGCACGTTGTCTTCTCTTGTTTTGTTTTTCAGCCTGTTTCATTTTGTTTTCTTATGATTGCAAAAGAAAAAAGAAGGGCTCGGCCAGAGTAGTTGTGACAAAAAAGTTTCTGCTGAAAAGTTTTTTTGACTGATCTTTCAAAAAAAGAGAAATGCACCGGCCGTAACAAGTGGTGGAATATTTATAACTGCAAATTTGAACATACTTATCCGAGTGCACCACCACCACCACCACTACCAGTAACACTACCAGCAATTACCGTTGAGGAAATCGATTGTCGGATTGAGCACTACTGCACATTTCCCTTCTCTCTTTCCTTCCTTCTTTGCTCTTTCCCTCCTCTCTCACATTCACACTTCAACCAGTCAGGCAATATATTTGCCGAACTGCCGATTGCTAATTCAATTAGGCCACCAACAGCAGCAGCAGAAGCACTATCATCAGGACTACCATCGTGTCACACGACATACCATCAGCAGTACTTGCCGGCAAATATTTACATAGCTCTAGAGCCGAAGCCAACCACCAGCGCCTGATTGCCATCAATCACGAGAAACGGGCAGTTGTGGAGACAATAACTAAAAGCAGCAGCAGCAATCCATAAATAATATTCATCTAGCGAGAGTGGATAGCTGCCGCCGCCGCCGCTGCTACTGCTGGTGACAGTTAATTGCCTCGTTGGCTACGTAGAACTGTGCTGGGCTCTTTCCACTTCTTCCCCCTCACACGAAGAGAACACTGCCGAGACCAAGTGGCCAAGTGGCCAACTAACCAAGGTAGTAGTAGTGGTGGAAGTAATGGTGGAAGTCCACATTCACTCTCTCTCTCTCTCTCTCTCTCTCTCTCTCTCTCTAAAGCCTGAGAGTACACAGTGGAGCTCTCACCACCATCACAACCNAGTGAAGTGCTGTTCCGTCTTTTGCACCATCAAAGTGTTCCTCGCCGTTCACCTCGTTCAATACTCGATAATAAACAAAAATAATAAGCGATCCGTGCAGCCGTGAATTGGTTGTACGTGAGAAATCAGCGACTGAAGGAGGGGGAAGAGAGAACAGGCGCAAGACAGACTTCAATCGAAGCAGGCAGTGAACACTTGCACTACCGAATTGATCGATTGATTGTCTTTGGACTTTGCTGTGCAACTACGACAACAACAACAGCAACAACAATACTCACCTCTTTCTCCAGCAGTTCAGCTGTTGTGAAAGTTAACTGGAAACTGTCGTCCCACTGTCGTCTGACAGTGCTCCGCAGTGAACACTTGACCACCACCACCGCCAAGTCTCCCACAGCTGTTCATAATAATGCCAAATATGCCAACATTATGCAAACGTGACTGATTGAGCCATTCAATCGCAGTGAAACCCCAGAAAGACGCCACACACATACAGGCACACTGGACACACCGGTGCAACAATCGATGGAGGGAACAAACAACGGCTGCTTCAAAAACTGACTGATCTGATCGTCTGACTGACGCCCAACACCAGCGCCCAGTTTTTTTGTTTTCAGTTCACTTTCGATGTTCCCTGTTGACCAACAACTACGACAGCAGGAGCAACCAAACTGAAAGTGCACTCGACCCACAGAGTGCAGCTCTTGTTGATGTCCTCTTAGCTGTCTCTTTCTTTATTCTCTTTCTCTTTTGCCTCTCTTGTGCCATTGTTTCTCTTCCTTTCTTTCTTTCTCTTCACAAGTACTTCACTGTCCATCTCTCACCCAGTGCTANTTTAGCTGTCTCTTTCTTTATTCTCTTTCTCTTTTGCCTCTCTTGTGCCATTGTTTCTCTTCCTTCCTTTCTTTCTCTTCACAAGTACTTCACTGTCCATCTCTCACCCATTGCTACTGTACTGTTGCCGTTTTTTCAATCGTCGCTCAATCAGCTCAGTACCCGGCAAGTCAGTCAGTTAGCAAGGCTAACATTAGATTAAGCGGGCTTGCTTTGCTCTTCTCTTCTCTGACTAGCCGCCACCATCACCAGCTCTACCATCAGCAGCAGCAGCACCATCGACGGTAAAACGCTAAACGTGAACGATCGAACACAATGCCACCGTCTGAAGGATTTGATGATGGATTTATTTATAGCCGTTTATTATAAATAAGCAATCAGCTGTGTAGCACAAAACATGATCAGTCGACTAAGAGACAATCGACTTAGAGGGACTAAGAGCTCGCGGTACAATTTGCGACTAAAGACAACGACGACAGCGGCGACAGTTCACCGTGCGGCACCGCAACGACAGCAATTACCAATAGCGGACAGCAACAGCACCACTACCACAAGCACCTGTTGCCGCCTTTCTTTTTGTGACTGTAAGAACGGCAGCAGCAGCAGCAGCACCCAAGTTGGCAATTGACAATCTGCACCAACTGATTTTGACCGACCGACCGACCGAAAGTGGCAACAGCAGTCATCATCGGTTGCCGCATTTATCATTGGTTTCACCTTCTTCACCCTTCTTCATTACCGGCACATGGTAATTAGTTGACAGTGGCACTCGTGCACCATAACCACCTTTGCCGCCACCACCACCTCCACCAAGTGCCAAGTGACTCATTCTGTGAGTGCATGAATAATGGCGTCAGTGCAGTAGCACTGTTGTAATGTGCCTGCAGTTAGCGGCAGTTCTGCCATATTTATCATCAGTGCCTGAAGTCACTGAAGGTGCACAACACACAGTAGTATACTCTCTATAACAATTCACTTCAACTTTTCTTCAACAACAACAACTTTTTTTCTGAATTTACTAGCCACTATTCAACAGGTGTCTTGCATTGTGTTTTTCTCCTTTTATTCGGTGCTGATTAGAGTGCCTGTTGCATCCACTGACTGTGCGCCATTACGCGGCTTGGTGATGTCTTCAAAAGTTTAACTGTTTAGAGAAAACTGCTCATTGAAACGTCAAATATTTTTTTGCTGAGTTTTTACATTTATCAACTGTGTTGTTACACTTTTAATTACTTCAGTGGTGTGTTTTTTCACTTCAACTTTATTTTCTTTGTGTTCAACAACTACCACACACAATTTATAGCCACCTCGTGGTACAACAGTGACAATGTCGGCGGCCATCAAGTCGACATCGGCTCGTCGCTTTGCGCCGACGACCTACGAGAACACCTGCAATCGGTGCAATCACCTGGTCTACTCGGCGGAGAAGATTGGTCCTCTGAAAGACTTTACCTTCTACCACCACGGTTGTTTCAAATGCGCCGCTTGTGGTTCAAAATTGACGTTGAAAACGTACTACAACAACCAACAGGACCAGGATGATAAGGAGGTAAGTTTCAGTGCAAAACGCTTCATCTTTTCTACGATTAATTGACTCGCATCTTTATGACTCTTCTTCTTCCGCTTGCAAAAAGACAATTGTTAACCGTTTCTTTCCCCCTCGAATGACTCACAAATGGCCATTAGTTTAGTTAGTGGACACTGTACTGCCTCATTGGGCACACGATGCTTATGCTGCACACTGTACACTCTGGCATTTATGGCCATTCCGCCTTCTTTGCATTGCTTTTGCTAGTTTCTCCGAATTGCTCTTTTGAGCCGATGAATTTATAATTATCAATTAGCGTCCGCTTTCTTACCTGTCTTAAGGCACTTCTGCTGTTTGCTGCTAATTTCTACCATATTTATTGTTGTGCCTTGTGCCGCCTCCTTTATAGCGGACACGTTTCACTCTTCTCTGGTTGCATCAATCTAATGCGGAATCACACATCAGCACAGCAGTCACAGTTAGTCAGCAGCGGTGCTTTTGCCACAAATGGTTGTAATTGTATGCTAATTCAGTGCTTCAGTTGTCCATAGCGTCACCACCGCATCACGAGACACATATGCTTTCATCAGTGAGATGCTGCTCCAGTGTACAGCAGCAACAGCAACAACTGTCTGCTAACTTCACTGTCATCTTGGCCTAATTTTGCTCATTAACTGCTGCATTCGTCCGCCAGTCGATGTCTATCGTCAGTCAGTCAGTTTGCCCATTGCCACTTCTAATTAGTAGCCTTTGTCCATTTGTTTGTTTAGCAGTCCTTGTGATGGTAGTAGTCTTTTGTTTTGCACTGCCTAACTAGTGCACTGAATCATCCCGTAGCAGCACTCCTTTGTCCACTGCAATGGGCAGGCAAATTGGCAGCGTCGTCCGTTTGACTAATCATCGAGCGATGAAACAAACAATTGAAAGAGTAGACAGACACTTTCATTTAGCAACTTCTGCCGTCACTGGTAGACAAAAACTCACAATCTGTTTGCTAATTAATTGGCGCACATCGTTGAGAACAACAGTTACCAGCAATAGCCAGAGGCCACAACCCACCGGGCGCTCTTGCAAGTCTCATTACAAGTATGATTATTCGCCCTGCCACAGTGTGCTCATTAGTCGTCGATTGACTGGCGTCTCTTCCTTCCAAACATTCACAACCAGTGTGTTCCAAAAAGTGTGCCCACTGTGCACTACTACACATTAATTGCTGTTCCATTCAAAGCTCAACTCTCTCATCAGCCACTCGGCGTTTCTCTCTCTTTTACTTAGTGACTGACTGACTGACAGAGTCAGGCGCACCACTTACCTCAATCATTACTCTGCAACAGCAACAGTCAATCAGTGGTGGTGGTGGTGAACTCCCAAACGTCCCGTTATGAGTGCCCTTCTTTTCACTCTCTCTCTCTTTCTCGCTCCCTCTTCCCGATGTCCGACTAATTGAATTATAACTTTCACTTTTCCGTTCACATGTATCGATTGTTGTTGTTGTTGTTGCTATTGACAATCTGCTGTCTGCCTGTGATTGGACCAGTGGCTGGCACTTTTGAAAGGAGAACCTCTTTTGACTCTGCCTTTGCCATTACTCGTTCTCTGCTGTTGCTGCTTTCTGAATCTATTCCATCAATTGGTCGGTGATTAATTGAGGCACTGAGTGCACCAAAATGTGCTCACCTGAGTTGAGAGTGGGCTAGTGAGTGACCAGTGTGCGTCTTGCTGAGTCGGTGAAATGTGTGTAATGATGGCCGTACAATGGCTCTCTCTCTCTCTCTCTCTCTCTCTCTCTCTCTTTCCCCCTTTCCAAAAACCGCCAAAACGCAAACTTGCAATGGNTCTCAATTATGCTGCTGCAGTCCAGTGTTTAGTGATCCAGTCCACTCTACTCCGCTCGTCCGTCACTCGTGCGAGTCATCCAACTCGTTGCTTTCTTTTCATCCTCGACATATTTAGCCCAAAGGACTGCACTGCTGCTGTTGATGTCAGCGCTAGTGCGCACTGGTGTCTCGTGGTGTCGATCAAGAAGAAGAAGCACACTGAGCGACGTATGTTTCTTTCGTTGTGTCGTCTAAATTGCCCGTCTAAGCGAGGCAAGGGCACACTGTCTGTACTTGTCCAGTGGTGGTCAGCCCTTCGGCACTCAGCCTCGGTGTCCCAATCCTCACTTCCATTTGGCTAATTGCACAAATTAGTCTTTTCTCCGCTCGCTGACACTGACTGGCTATTGTTGTGTCGTTGGCGACCACTGCCATCTCCTTTGACAGTGAGAGTGAGTCTGCCAATGTCGAAGTCGTCGGAGGTTGTGTGTTTCTGAGTTTGGCTCTGTTTCGGTTTGCAGGCACCTTTACCAAAACTGAGCATCTCCCATGCACAGGTTTTCTTCTCGTGCCCTTCCTAGGCTGTGCGAAGGTGCGAAGCTGGGCATCAACAGCTACTACAACAGCGGCAACAACTGCATCATTACGTGGTGTCGTAATTAGCTTAATTGAAAGGGGGCTAATTGCATTTGGCAGCAACAACGGCAGTCTAAGGAAGAGAAAGGGGAAAACAACAACAACAACAGGCAAACCAAGTGCCCAAATTGAGACACTTCGACAATTGGCGGTGATGTGTGAGCCTGTTTGTATGTGAGATTGTCTCTTTCTGTGTCTTGTTCGCTGCCTCGTCAATTTGGCAACTCTCTATTTGTGATTTTTTGCATCTACGCGACAGCCAAGGCGCGATGAACCTTAGAAAAACGGGCTGCTGTTGTGATTAGGTCCAATTATGAGGGAGAAACAGGCGGATAAACAGACAGGCAAACACTCAAAATCAGCCAAGTGAAATCAGCCAGTTGGCAACAGTTTTACACTTACAGTTTTACACACACCGTTTTTCCTTACGCAAGTGTCAATTTACGTAAACGCTACTGTGGTGTGTTGCCTCTGAAGGTGGCAATTGAGGGAACGAGCTAACAGCTACAACGGTTTTCATCGAGCAGATATAATTCGAGGCCACGGACAGAGAGCACTAGTCACCATCACTTTTGCTCAGACTTTGACGAATTCATGAGCTTCTTCTGTTTCGCATTCAGGAGGTCTTTTCTTTTTCTTCTTCTCCTCACTGTCACCTTGCCGCAGCTTGTTTCCACTTCTAAAGGCAGTAGTGCATTTCTCTTTCTGTGAATGAATGATAATGAATGAATTTCACTCTCAGCGTGGCAAAGACTTTTTTATCACCGAATGCGATAGTGTCCAAAACTGCTGTTGAAGGTGTTTGAAGGTGGCAAAATGATGGTTTGTGTGTGTGAGTTCCTTCAAGCAAGGAGTGCTTTTGCATGACTTACCTTTTATTCTTTTGAGCTTGCACCTGTCGCTGAATGTAGATATCGGGCTGATGATACTGCCACACTGCTCGGCCAGATTGTCTACCAGCGGAAACTGCAGGTACCTCTCAGCGTCTGGTTTGCTTATTTTAGTCAGCAGCAGCAGCAGCAACCGTTCGATGTTAGTTGATGATAGTAATAAACAATACTCTAAGTATGTATATAATATTGTGCTGATAGTCCACTCTACTGCTGGTGAAGCCGATGAAGCGAGACAAAACAAATACACTGAAAGAAGTGAACACAAAGCAGCAGCGGCAAAGGCTTGCCAGTCCGGCTACAATAGAAATTGCCTGTCTTTCTTTTGTGTCTTCGGCGAGCTCCAAACACACAGTATACTTAGTTTGTGTGTCTCATTTTCACCTGTTGCTGGCAATCACTTAGCAATCACCTATCAATTAGCATCGATTGTTGTTTGCATGACCGGAGGCAGAGGAAAAGGCTGAAACAGCTAAGCACACACACACAACACTGTGAGCACTTTGCACACCACCGACGTTCACGGCTGGTTTCAATCAGCGAATCCGGCGAGAAATCACAGCCTTTCTTTTCTCTCCTTTTTCTGGCCTTTCAATAATTAAATGGCCATCACAAGTGGCTTTCTGCCCAGACCTGCATCAGGGCACGATATTTCTATCAATGATGTAAGCTGAAGCTCAGACTTTTTTTGCCTTATAAACCAAATGTAATGCAGTGGAATGATCCACTTAAGCATTTTGCTCTGCTCTATAACCGATTTGCCTAATTTTCCCGTCAGTTTATGATGAAGGCGCTCAGAGTCGTAGGTAGACACACACACCACAAAGTCAGTTGCAATTGACAGAAAAATGGCTGTGGTTGCCGGTGCACAGGTGATTGAATTTCATTCATCGTCCACTGACTCTTTTGCGTAGGCGACGCCTCTCCTGTCCGTTTGTTAGCGTGTGCCTCTTCTCTTGCCAGTCGATGCTCTTTTCGGTTTGATGTTTACATTTTATTTTTTCTTTTTGTTCATTTCTTGACATCCCTTCTGCCCACTACCTTTGTGACGTCTTCTTTACTAGCATCACACACACACAGTAATCTAATTAAATGACGTCCACGAGAGCGAAACAGCAGTTTAAGTGTAACTGAGAGAGAGTAAGTGCTGCTTATTTTGGGCATCATCTCAGGCTCATCTTGCACACTTCTGCTAATTGTGTTCTCACTTACTTTCCACCAAACTTATTCACACTTTTATTTTTTTATTGCACTCAATAGCAAACATTAAATTCTTCATTTCTCTTTTTCTCCTCCTCAGGTCTACTGTGCCAGTCACGTGCCGAAGACTGGTCCGGGCAAGTTGGACGGCCTCTCTGTGGGCATCAAACAGGCGTTGAATGTGCCTCGTCGTGGCCACCACCTGGTGAACGACCAGATTCGCGGATCGGGCTCTAAGCCGGCACTAGGCGCTGATGCACTGCTCATCAAGACGGCCAGTCAACAGTCAACGATAGCACATGACGCCAACTCGCCGTACTACCAACAGCAACAACAACAGTTGTACGGAGGCCAGCACCACCCCGGTCAGTCTGCCCAGTCATCGTCTCAGCACTACCCCGCCAAACCTCACCACTACCCAGCTGGTCACTTTGACGCCTCTGCGTTGCACATTCAGCATGCCGTCAACCAGACGAAGATGCTCAATCGCTCAAATGGAATGCTGCGGCACAGTGTCCGCCCGGGCATCGAGAGTCGCATCAACGATTTCTTGGTATGTCTTGTCATTGAACTTTAAGTTTCTAGATGTTAAAAGCAAGGTCCCAATGAAAGAATTATTTACAAAAAGGAAACTTAATGTTTTTTACTTTTCTCAGCAAATGCTTTTTATTTTTAATCATTCAAGACTTGTTTGTCTGTAGTGGACCGTTTGACAGAAAACATTTTAGCTAATAGCAGTGCATGTAAGCACACCGAGTGTTTCAAATGCATGATTGAATCGTCACCTTTTTTTGGCGAGCTATTTTATGTTTACAGTTAGCTCAAATGTTTACTGTCGTGTTGAACATAGGTCTTCAGTAGTTTTCGACCTGTCGGCGTCACATTTTGCTTCGGTATTTTAAAACCGCCGCCAGTGAAGTGCACTGTTACACATAACACCCGCTTGACAATTTGGCAGATTGAGTTCTCTGGCGGAGCACAGGAAAAGCTGTAGAGACTGACACTGACAAGCGAAGCCAACTGAAAGCGACTCTGTTAGTTTGCTAAAGTTGGCCCCAGTCACCGGCGATTTGTTGACTGTTTGTCGACTGTTTGCACCACTTGTTGCGCCCTTTTTCTTTTTCTTCTTTCAATGAGGCAGTCAACCATGTAAATGAAACTTTATTTTTTGATAAAAAGATGGAAAATAACTTTTCCGGCAGTGATGAGGTCATATCGTCAAAGCAAACTCCATCAGTGTCTTAGCCTGTAAATAGATTTGCATCCTGTTGATGACTTTTGACCTGGTGAGCAGTAGCATCACTAGCAATCCCTTTCTTGCATCACCGTTGAAAGATGCTAATTAGGGTCGTAACCGAAATCAGGAGAAAGAGAGGGGCAACTTTAAAGCAGCATTTCAGTGTCAACTGACAGACGTTGAAATGACTCCATTTAGCGTTTGAATTGAAGCCGTACTGCTGCCACTCTTCTGCAATTCACTCTTTGGCCGCACTGCTCCACTCTCTGCGGCAGTCAGCTTTGCGGCAAACTCTGCCAGGCGAACAAATGAAGTGCTGATCTGCTATCGGACGCCAGCACCGGCAGGCAAGCCAGCGAGCGCGCGATGTCCAGTTAATTGGCCATTTGTCATGGCCACTGTTCGCGTGGACGCAAATAGCAACGGCAACAGTATTCGCTTCGAGTGACTGCATCCTGAAAGAAGATGAAAACGAAGAAGAAGAAAAAGAAAGGGCGACGGGCGCCAGTAATGGACACGGACAAGAGTGCACACAAGCGAAATACTGCTTGCTTGCTTTCAGTGTCTCCAGAAAAGTGCTCCCTTCTACTTTTACCTCTTCTTCTTCTTCTTCTTCATCTGACAAGTCAATTTGCATTTGTACTTTGCTTGGTCAAACTCGCTTGGGCTCGGTCTTGTGGACAGTTTCTTTTGGTGTGAGAGCTTGACTGTGTGTATGTACTTGGATTGTCCAGGCTCGTTTTTGGTCAGTTNAGTGCACACAAGCGAAATACTGCTTGCTTGCTTTCAGTGTCTCCAGAAAAGTGCTCCCTTCTACTTTTACCTCTTCTTCTTCTTCTTCTTCATCTGACAAGTCAATTTGCATTTGTACTTTGCTTGGTCAAACTCGCTTGGGCTCGGTCTTGTGGACAGTTTCTTTTGGTGTGAGAGCTTGACTGTGTGTATGTACTTGGATTGTCCAGGCTCGTTTTTGGTCAGTTTTCGTTTGCTTTTCTTTGAACTTTTTTGTACACACTCGACTTTCAACACTCAACCGGTCACTTTGTAAATGATCGCGATGAATGGCTGAGAAAGATAAAGAAAGAGCAAAATAGAAAAAAACTTGAAATTGCTCGCTAAATGAACTTGGACGTCGGTGAGCTTTACTCTACCCCGACTTTGCCACCGTTCTTGCTCGACGATCAGCAGATATAATGCAGTGCCTGATGAGCTCACACAGGCAAATGAGAGCTGCTTCATATTAGCATTATTTNTTTCGTTTGCTTTTCTTTGAACTTTTTTGTACACACTCGACTTTCAACACTCAACCGGTCACTTTGTAAATGATCGCGCTGAATGGCTGAGAAAGATAAAGAAAGAGCAAAATAGAAAAAAACTTGAAATTGCTCGCTAAATGAACTTGGACGTCGGTGAGCTTTACTCTACCCCGACTTTGCCACCGTTCTTGCTCGACGATCAGCAGATATAATGCAGTGCCTGATGAGCTCACACAGGCAAATGAGAGCTGCTTCATATTAGCATTATTTCCACCGACTGGGAACTTTAAAATGTAAATGATCCGAGCTTAGCGTCTGTATGCATAGTCATACGCTTGACTCCACTTCTGCGCAACCATTAGTGCCGATGATTATTGCCGAATTAGACAGATTTAGTACTGATCTTGACTTGAAGTTGCGCTGAACCGGATAAAGGATTCGTGCAGTGGCTGCTGATCCGATGTTCTTCCACCGACAAGGGTGGCCACTGGTCATTCAGTGAACTCAGTGGACGGACACACTTCACTCTTCTGCCTTGGGACAAATGCTGCTGCACTTGTTGGACATAGTGGTGAATGTGATGGTGAATGTGATGGTGGCAGCGGTAGTGGTGCTGCCAGGCACCATCAACTACAGCGACAGCAAATTGGTCTGCTGTAAGTGCAGCCAGCAAGCAGCTTTACCCGTTATTAACCGCTCACAAAAAGCCGCTTTCAGCTGATGTTGCAATCGGCCATTACTGGTGTACATCGGCCGATTATTATTATTATTAATGCGGCACATGTTCGACGGATTAATGTGCACTGCTTGACTTTTTTGTTCATTTTCCTCCCGTTAGCCGCTGGCCAGTGGCCACTTTTTGTCTGCAATATATTTGTTTTGTCTCCTCTCCCTCTCTCAGTTGTTGTAATGCTAGGCTCGTAAATCAGTGGAAAAAATGAAGTGCATTTTCTCTATCTCTCTCTCCCTCTTAAGCGGGAGTTTGATTGTTCAGCCTCATGGCGGCGGCGACGTTTTGCTAACCACCGATGACGACGACCTCAACTAAANCTATCTCTCTCCCTCTTAAGCGGGAGTTTGATTGTTCAGCCTCATTGGCGGCGGCGACGTTTTGCTAACCACCGATGACGACGACCTCAACTAAACTAAGCCACTTTAACTAGTAGTGCTGCCCCAAAAGTCGATTNTTATCTCTCTCTCCCTCTTAAGCGGGAGTTTGATTGTTCAGCCTCATGGCGGCGGCGACGTTTTGCTAACCACCGATGACGACGACCTCAACTAAACTAAGCCACTTTAACTAGTAGTGCTGCCCCAAAAGTCGATTCTTTTCGCTCCGATTAGTCAGTTAATCTGCCAGTGTTTGCGGTTGAAGTGCCATGCCTTCTGTTTGGCGGGCACTGCTGCCAATCGAAGGCAGTAATGGAAGGCAAAAGGGGCAGCGAATGAACCAACAGCAACAGTCAAGGCAAATTGCTTCAAAGTCAACTGTCTGTATTGTGTTGATTTATACGCAAACACACAACACACATTTTATTGTCTGCAGCCGTGTAATTAGCCCTAATTCAGTCTTATTTATTTCACTTGTCCTTTTTCTCTTTGCTCGTCTTTTTCATTTTTCATTCTTGTTTTCATTAAACTCATTTCATTTTTTTCTGTTTTCTCAGGACTCTGAAACGCAACGACGTCTGGAGATGCTGCACCGAGGCGAAGAGGACGACCTCTACAGGCAGTTCTCGAAGAAGCGTGCAGAAGAGGAACAAAACGTGAACACGGTCATTCAGGAGGAGTGGGAAAAAGAGCTGGAGAAGCTCACTGCCCGCTACCACTATGAGATGACGAAGAAGCAGAAAAAGATCTCCATGGACGAGGAACGGGCAATGACGCTACGCCACCAGAAAGACAAGGACGATCTAGAGAAGAACATGACCATCAAACTGGATCGGAAGAAGGAGTCACTGACCAAGAAGCTGCTAGAAGCCGAACGGCATGCCACTGCAGAGCTGGTGGAGAAGCAGAGTAAGGAGATGATGAACCTCATTACGGAGAAGCTGCAGGAGTTTACCATCAGTCGCAGTGCCAGCAATGGCAAGAATGCCACCTCCTCCTCAACGACTGCAAACGGCAGTGGCAGCAACGGTCACAGCAGTAATGGCCATCGAGATCGTTTTCATGTAAGTGTTTGACTATTTAATCTTTTTCTTTTTAATTTCAACTCTCTTTTGAACTTTTTGCACAGCACTCAAACGGCAATGCCGATGACTCCTCTGATGGGAAAAGCTCTCCTTCAGGGAGCTCTTACAACTCAGGCATTCCCGTCGCCTCGTACCCCAGCGCTCCGCCGCCACCTAATGTGCCTACGATATCAAAGCTGGACATTTACAGTGATCCGAATGTCTTTGCCGAGCTAGATCAAATTGCCATTAATGTAAGAGAGCCTACCATTATTTAAACTGTCAGTCCTTTTAAGTCTAATTGATAACCGTTTTTGGCACCTCCTTTCGACAGGTCGCCCGTGAGGATCAGAAGACCTTCACCGACCTCGTCCGCCAGCTGACGGTGAGCTGTGTGACGGACGTGGAGAAAGCTCGTGCCATCTTCCGGTGGATTACCGTGAAGAACCTCAACACGATCAAGTTCGACGACAACCTGAGCGCCGATACGCCCATGGGCATACTGCGCGGCATCAAACACGGCACTGAGAGCTACCACGTTCTCTTTAAGCGACTCTGCAGGTAGGCGACTCTACCACACATTTCTTCTCTATTCACACTCATCGTCATCATCATTATCATCATCATCAGATAGATTGAACAAACAGGGGAGAGAAGGGGGCTCAAAGTAAACTTTTTTTGCAGCTCAAATTTGGCAGTTTGTAAGGCGGTCACCTGATTAATGAGCACAACAACTGAGTGGTAATAGTAGTAGTAGTACTTTTGCAACAGAGCTGATCTTCTACGAAGTGGTAGTCATTAGCTAGCGAGCTGAAAGTGGCATCGATTACCAAAGTAACAGTGCTGCTGGTGGTGGTGATGGTGCAGGATGGCAATCGGACCCAATTTGCTTGTGCTCCTTCTTCAGCTGCTGAAGAGTGCACCAATCTGCTGTCCTGTCGTCGTCGTCTTCTTTGCTGACGTTGACTCACATCAAGCGCGTCAATGCACTATCACTGGCCGATGCCCACGCAATAAGCTAATTAAATTGCAGTTTGTGCCGTGTTCCCTCGTGGGCTGTTGCGGCTGTTGCTGCCGGCGAATGTAAAGTTTATACTGCCTGATCATCATCAGGACGGCTGCACTGGTGCACTGTAGAGTGTCCCATGAGCAAAAACGGGATAATTGATTTTGCAGCAGCTCATTTTGGCATGTTGTGACAAAGAACAGCGATTCCGCTTTTAGCTCTCTCTACCCACTTTTGCTCTCAGTCTAATTGACTTTTAATTTTTCATTTTGTTCAACTTCATTACTAACTCTTTACTTTCTTCTTTTCTGAACAGTTACGCCGGTTTGCACTGTGTGGTGATCAAGGGCTACTCAAAGAGTGCCGGCTATCAACCGGGTGTGCACTTTGAAGACACTCGATTTCGCAACTCGTGGAACGCGGTCTACGTCGCCGGTGCCTGGCGTTTCGTCCAGTGCAACTGGGGCGCTCGTCATCTGGTCAATGCCAAAGCGGACACTCCGAACAACAACAGTAGCAATGCTCACAGTGCCTCCCGCTCTTCTGCCAATTCCTCAAGTAAAAGTTCCTCCAACGGCAGCAGCAGCAGCAGTGGCAGCAGTCTAGCCAGCGGAAGTCCGGGCAAGAGCTCCAGCGACAGTCTGCGCTACGAATACGATGACCACTACTTCCTGACGGACGCCAAAGAGTTTATCTACGAGTTTTTCCCGCTGCAGCCAGAGTGGCAACTCCTTCGCTGTCCAATCAGTCTGCGCGAGTTTGAGGAGCTGCCCTTTGTGCGGTCGCTCTTCTTCCGCTACGGCTTGTACTTTGTCGATGAGGACATTCAGGCGGTACTGCGCACCGACAGCTCAGGCGCGGCGACGGTGCGCATCGGAATGCCCAGTCAGATGACGCCCAGTCTCATCTTCCACTACAACCTCAAGTTAATTGATGGAAGCAGTGCTTTGGGCGGCGCCACCACCACCTCCAGCAGTACCACCACCACTACCAGCTCAAACAGTCATGAAGGAGTGGGCAGTGGCAGTAGCGGTGGACTGGCCACCACCGNCAGTCAGATGACGCCCAGTCTCATCTTCCACTACAACCTCAAGTTAATTGATGGAAGCAGTGCTTTGGGCGGCGCCACCACCACCTCCAGCAGTACCACCACCACTACCAGCTCAAACAGTCATGAAGGAGTGGGCAGTGGCAGTAGCGGTGGACTGGCCACCACCGGAGCAGACACCTTTGAGGGCGTCATTCTGAAGCGCTTTGTCATGCAGTCCGTCACCGGAAATGTGGTCACCTTTCGCGTGCATGCACCTTGTCCGGGCGCCTTCATTATGGACATCTTTGCCAATGCGACCACACCACGGGAGTACGTCACCGGGGAGCCGATGAAGTTCAAGTCTGTTTGCAAGTTCAAGATTGTCTGCGATGAGTTGCGCACTGTGATGGTGCCGCTGCCTGACTGCGCCAGCGGCGAGTGGGGTCCTCTCAAGGCGACGCGACTCTTTGGTCTGGTGCCATTGACTCACGAGGAGGCGCTTATTTTTTCCGGTCGGGAGCTGGAGACGCAGTTTCGAATGTCACGCCCGCTCACCGATTTTATGGCCTCACTGCATATGAATGGCGTAGACGAGCGTCGTCTGTCCCGATACGTTTCAGTGTCCATTGACGACGACGACGATCTGGTCACCTTTCGCATTCGCTTTCCTGAGGAGGGCCAGTACGGACTGGACATCTACACGCGGGAATTGCACTGTGCGGAGATGTTCAATGCAGATAAGCAGCTGCTGACGCACTGCTGCAAGTACCTCATCAATGTCACCTTTGCCCACTCAAAGGGGACCAAGTGACCACCACCATCACTATTCTTTTTTGTTTGTTTCATTGTTTATTTTTTCCATCACTACCATAATTTTTTCAACTGTGCCTTTTTCAACTTTATTATTGTTCCTCCTTTACACTAACTTGATTTCACCAAAGAAAACCACTTACACAAATACTTTTATGTAAAGGTACAGTTTTTTCAGAGGTTTTTTCCTTTTTCCCATCTACCTACAGATTATTCTTGTTATTGATGTTTTTTATTGATATTTTCATGAGTGATTTTGTGAATACCAAATAAACTATTTTTTGTTGTTTTTTGTCAATCTAAACTTTTAGAACTTTTTTTCAAAGGTAATAAGCAAAAACATTTTAGATGGACGTTGCTTTACAAAGCCCAAGTTTTACAAGCAATCCACCATCACGCAAAGATGCCGTACATTAGCCACGCAATGGCTCGCTGCTCGAATGAGGTAATGAGAAAAGCTGGCGTCGGTGGTACCTCAGTTCCTCCGACTGCAACACCGAGCAGCCGTACCACCCGATCAATGCCTGCCCGACACCCTCAGGCGCACCAGTATGCAGACCAGGCAGTGGCCGATCAGTACCACCAGAAAACCACCGTTCGCCGTATGCTTTTTGTCCACAGTCTTCTTCAGTCGCAGATCTCGCAGATGATCAACGCCAACAGTTGCCAGTCGCTGGAAAGTGCCTCCAACAAAACCGTTTTTTCCGAGTACAAAATTGACCAGAGCACCGTCTACTACTCAGGGCCAAAGCACAAGATATACAGTGCAAAGCGAACCACCGCTGATCTGGGCATGAGCATCTCTGTTCGAGTGTACAACCGCTCCGATCAGGATCCAGTCAGCTCGTTGTACCTGAAAATAATCCGCCACCTGGGAAGGAAGCACCCCTATGTGGTGTACTCACTGGACCTTTTCTACGACGCCGAGAAGGTGTACATCTTTCAGGAGTACTGCACCGGTGGCAATCTGCGCCAGTACCTGGAGAAAAACGGCACTACCAGCGAGTCATTGGCGGTCGCTTGGGCAAAACACCTCCACCAGGCACTGGACTTTCTAGGTGACCAGGCAATAGCCCATCGCGACCTAGTTCCTGAGCACCTCGTGGTGGTGCCACTAGGCAGCGCCTACAATCCCTACCTCAAACTGACCGGCTTCAAGAAGGCTGTCATCTACTGGAACACCAACGAACACGACGTCCTCTACTGTCCCTGTCTGCCGGCGGAACAGCAACCGGCGGACGGTGGCGCCAGCAACTACCAGCCGCTGGAGGTGTACGGCAACGCCACCACCGAGCAGTTTGACCCCGTTCAGGCGGACATTTGGTCGTACGGGGCGAACATCTTCTTTATGCTCACCAAAAAGTACCCTTTTAGCGGTGGTACTCCAGTTGAAGGGATTGAGGAGGAGATCAGGCGAAATGTGGCGGCACTATCTGCCATCAGTGAACACGGGCGAGCCTTTCTCACCGCCCTGTTGCGCATCAACGCCAACAACCGAATGCCCTTTGACTTTGTGGAGAAGCATCCCTGGTTGACAGGAAAACCGGCAGTAAGTAATGCTTACTTTTTATCATCATTTAATAAATCTTTTTTCTCGGGAAACTGTGTACAGCCGGCACCGGTGGTTCTACCGTCACAGTCACCTCCAGCAGCATCAGCACCAGCATCGCAATCAGCACAGCCAAAGCCTGAACAGGCGGCTCTGAACGACCTGGTGCGAGAGCTAACCGCCTCGGTGAGCGCTCTTTCCCTTCGACAACCCTCACGAACCACTGAAGGTGGTGGGGCAGCTGATGGGCAGCTGAGCGAGGAAGAGGGCAAAGAGCTGGCTGCCGTCATTGAGACGCTTCGCGTGAAAGTGGTCCACCTGGTGCACAACCTGAAGACACTGATTCCCAGTCTGCCTGATGCAAAACGCAATGAACTGTTGGAGGACGTCGCTCAGTTGGAAACCTACTCGCAGAGCATCACCACTGAGCAGTTTGAAAAGTTTAGCGCAATGATGCTGGAGATAATGGCCAAGATTGACAAACTGCTCGATGAGGTGAAACCATCCTGGGCTAATTGAAAAGTGGAGCTCTAGTTTTTTAGTTTCATTGTTGACAGTTATGTACTAATCACTTTATGTTTACACAGTGCCTAAAATAGATTGACTAAATGATTTACAAGTGTTTTGTTGATACAGTATAAATGTCATTAACGTTTATTTGTTTTTGCAAAATATAAAATGTTAATACTTACAAGGTGACTTTGGTGGATAGTTAATCATAAATTGTCAAAAACGGCCATGAGGATGGAAACTGAAAATATGATGACAACAATTTTCTTTCATTAGTGCTTGATTTTGATAGTGCTGCTTGAAATTCCGCATTTTTATCCGCTGAATGTGTAGCGCAATCTAAAAAAGTCGTGAAAGTTTTAGGTGGTTCAATAGTTGATAAAGTTTGTGATGGTTTTTCAGTAGCTGTGTTGGCTTCCATTTTGATTTAAAAACAAACTGTGGCATAGAGCTAAAATATTTTGGCGCAGCAGAAAGAATATATTCTCTTGAGACAACCATCTGCCTTGTCTTGCCATTTTTTTGAGTTAAAAAATTTCTCATTTTTCTCCACTAGAGGACACTACCAACTCCTATAAAAACATTTTTAAAATTAAGATTTGGCAGCACTTTTAATTTTGCGTTCCATTACTTGCACTTTTGCCTTTCTCTGTTGTAGATAATTACAAACATGACTCAATTTAGGTAAACACTTTCATCATCCACTCCTTTTTCTGATTAGTTAGCGCTGACCATTGTGGTTGTGATGTAGATCTCACTACCCTAACGTGTACATGACGAAACTGACCTTGTGTCTACAGATGTTGCTATTGCAGCATTATTGGTGGTCTCGTGCGCCAAATACCAAGAATTGCGGACGGTATGTGTGGCAGTAAGCAATGGCATTCTCGTCATTTGTAAGTTAGTACACAAACACTTTAACTTAATCTGTTGATAGCAAAACCCTTGTGTAAAACTTGTGCCGCGTGTTTGCTTTATTGTGCCAGCAGCACTTGTAAAAAATAGAAGATTCTAGAGGGTAAAGCAGTTGTCATAATGCAAGGAGGAAGAGTAAAATGCTTCACTATCTCAGGTAGCATTGGTTAGCCTTTGAGCAAGAGCTATGGTGACGAGGATAGTAAGTGTGTGAGAGAGAAAAAGAGGGAAAGAGAGACCCAAGTACAGTGTAGCAATTAAAAAGTCAGTGTCACATGTCATCGATTACGATTGGAACAGTCAACATGATAAGAGCAAACAACAGCACAGCACCGGTTAACCGGTATCAGGGCTTCCTTATCATGTCTTCCCAATGAACGCAGCAACAACAGCAACACAAAGCAATAGACGCACCTGCTGATGTTGATGGGAAAAAACAATTGATGAAGGGTATTGTGTGCGCATACGTGGTGATTGGCAGGTTCCCATCAATTTGTACAGTAGCACATCATCTGATGGTGCACACACAGCAGCCACCCAGCATCAGCCTGCCCTCTTTGGGCAACTCTCCATAAAGTCTCTTCTATCAGGACAAGTACATCAGCAGCAAAGGTAAGTATTATATTTGTGATTTATCGTACAGTGCTCATTTTTATTTCTCACCAAAAAAGACACGCACAGGTAGGATGCTCTGCTTTGCTCTCCATGCATCGGCAAAATATCACATGATCCTCTGTCTGTCTGTCTGTGAGATTGATTGTACGATCGGCGCTGCTTCACATCTAATTAGCATTGCTAAGTTTGATTTCAGTTTTTTCAACTAAAATGCTTTCCAGTAATTTGTAGAAGAAACAACACAGTGTATGCAACAGTTTCAATCAGCTGACACAGCACACAGCTGCTACTTTTTTGGTTTGTCTTTACACATTGTTGCATATGTTGCTCTCTAAGTGTGTGTGCTTCATTAGAGCGGCCGCCGCCTTCATTACAATTTGCACTTACGTAATGCGAACTAATGGGCAAATGTGTGTGCAAAGCTAGCAAACTCGGCTATTAGCGCGTCGATTTGGTCAGGCGAGTTTATGGCGACAGAAACATGTTCTGCAGTCTTTGCAGCCGTCTGGCATGACTGTTCAAATGACAGAATTAGTGCTTTCTTAACAATTAGTCTAACAACGCCGAAGTGTGTGCTACTTTTGTATACCTTTTTTTTCAGGCACCTCTATCAGGCATCGAAAAGAACAAAGTATCGCTGAATTGGCTGCTGCTGCACAGGCACACGCACACCTTGGAAAAAACCTTTCGTTTTTCTACCTTTTTCAGATTTAAAAGTTCTGCCTGTCTGTAATTTAGGATAATGGTTGCTTTTCTGCAGAAAAGAAAGTTAAACGCGTCAATTAAACACTGGTAAAAGACAACTGCTAACCAAAAAACAGCAGCCACAAATGCGGTGTGCACGGTTGTGTGCCAAAACGAGTGATGTTCCTTTCTACCAAAAGTGGAAGGAGGGGGAGAAACTGAGGGGGCACTGAAAGTGGTGGCCATCTAAGTTGGTACTACCACCACTGCCACCTTTAGTCTATTTACTGACGACAACGACATCACAATTGACTGGAATTAAATTGGAAATTAAACAGAGGTAAGGTAAAGTAAGGTAAGGCGAGGTGAGGAGAGCGGCAGAAAATAGATAACAACTTGGTGTAAAAACTGCAGCGTTGGTGAGTCGTTTAGAAGGCGCGCACTCTTTGCGCTTTCAACTAAAAGGGCAGCAGTTTAGATCCTTTCGAAGCGGTGTGCGCCATTTGGCCGTGGCGTCAGTGGCTGCTGCTGCTGGTGTTGGTGCTGCTGCTGTTGGAGTTGTTGGAAGTGTCGGTAGTGCATTGTTTGCTGCTGTCCGTTCAGTGACAGCTCATGCAGACTGCAGTGGATGCATTTTCACGTTGTCTTGGTCTCCCTTTCTGCGCCTATCAACCAGCGAAAGCGGCACAGCAGAAGGCGTTGAAGTGGCAGCAGTACCTCGTAGGCCACAGGTGAATGGCTTGATGTCCTTTAAACTCATTCACTGCCCGCAACTTAATGGCTGCCACTTCCCGTTGTCTCAGAGTGAACAGAGCGAGAGTAGGAGATCACCTCACCTGCTCACAACTCTGTTGAAAGGAGCTGAAAATAGTTACATTTGTCTGCCTGTGTATACGCACGTCGGTGTTGGTGTTTCGGTTGCTAACACTAATCTGCCTCTGTTGCTGCTGTTGTAGTGGCCCCATCTTCCACGGCGCAAATCGGCCAATTAGTGAGTTTTGCAGGTTTTGACAGCTTCAACTGCGGATGCTCTTCTCTGTTGTCGCTGCCTCACTAGAGTTCAAAAGTCAAAACAAACCGAGGCAAACCAGAGAGTAAAGTACCAGCAAGGCAAGGCTGAACACAACTGTTGTCGGTTTGTCGGCGCCTCAGCTGCTCGCTGTTATCGCCTTGTTTGTGCGGTGCTCTACGTGCCAATTGCCCAGTGTAGATAAGAGCGCCGGAGACGACAACGATGACAGCGACATCATCAGCAGCCAAAAGCAGCCAAGTGCACCAAAGCGGCTTTGCGGACGACTTCCCCCTTCCCCTCCCCACGGAGTGTACCAGTCGATGTCGACCGTTTGACTTATCACACTCGAGGCACATCGAGTTGTAGTGCAGTTCCAATACTTCCTGGCTCCAATCTCAATCAGTTTGCACTCATTTTTTCCTCCTTTTTCTTTTCTTCTTTTCCCTTTTCCTTCTCTACCTCTTCTCTAGTCTTAAATTGAGAATAGTAGTCGGTCACATTTTTATGTCGACTTTTTTGACAATTCTCAAGTGGGTGCTAGTTTAGTGTGCTGAATTAAAGCAAAATGAAACTACTGTGGTAAAACAAGGACCAGGAAAACAAACGAAAGGTACACAACTTGGAACCGGCTAATTAGCCTAATTGGCTTGGTTTTATTGTTTTTCTGCATCAACTTCACTTCAGGCATCGGTTCTTTAATGCACTTGCACTTTTTGTATTTCATTAAATTCTCTCTGGTATTCTGAATAAAATGAGGCCACCATTGACGTCTGTTGTTTGTCCTTTGGTATTAACCAACACAGCAGCTGCAATATCACAATTGCTGCTGCCTTGCGCTGATCAAACAGACCAACACCAACACACACACACATCAAGTCGATTTACTCGTAGATAAATTGAGCATACCAAAATAACAGATTTCACTGAAACTGACCAAACTGACTCTTCCTCCCTTCACATGCTGTTGCCCAAACACACTGAAGTGGCCATGTTCACGCCACCAAATACTTCGAAAGAGGCTGTACCAGAAAAACTAACAGTTTCAGAGATAAGCTCACCAGTTTTTGTTTGCCGTTCCTTTTCCATTTGGGTGGTGATACTGTCTACAACGGTCACATTCAGCTGTCCTCTATCAGTTGCACCCCTGTTTGCCTTTTTTTTGCTGTCCACTTCAGGGGGCTTTTGTTGGCAAGGGCAGTCACTACGGGCCAGTAGTAATCTCTGGTGAATGTGTGTGTGTTTACATTGCAAGGATATTAGTGAAAAAAATTAACCAGTTTTAATGAATTTTTGTTTGGCTTTTTGAGATGGTTTCAGTGTTCAGTGTTCAGCCTTGCACGAAAAACAGGCGATAACAAGGTGAGTCATTGTGAAGTGAAGAGGGCATTGAATGACGCCATTGCCTGAAGACAAATGGACTAACTGTCTGACTGATTGGCGCAGGTGTACGGTGTACTGAACTTGTAATTGTACTCGCCTGCAGGCAACTGATGCCACCCAAAAGATAACTGCCACTATTTACAAAGCTTTTATTTAAATTGAATAATTCATTTTTAAAGTAAAAAAGTTTAATAGCTCAAAAATGTTTAGATTGCAAAAATATGTAGACAACTTGCCGAAAAGATAAATGACAAAAGTACATAAGGGGAAAAAGTTGCTCAAAACCGAGTTAGCCTTAGTAAGCCTTTTACATAAAAGGTAGTTCATGGCACAGTTGATGCTGTAAATAGCAGTGCACTACAACTGCAAAGACTAAGTTGAGTGCACCAATGGAAGCCATTAC